TCTTTCTTTCTTTCTTTCTTTCTTTCTTTCTTTCTTTCTTTCTTTCTTTCTTTCTTTCTTTCTTTCTTTCTTTCTTTCTTTGTTTCTTCTTTCTTTCTTTCTTTCCCTCCTTCCCTCCCTCCCCTTCCTTCCTTCCTTCCTTCCTTCCTTCCTTTCTTTCTTTCTTTCTTTCTTTCTTTCTTTCTTTCTTTCTTTCTTTCTTTCTTTCTTTCTTTCTTTCTTTCTTTCCTCTTTCTTTCTTTCTTCTTTCTTTCTTTCTTTTCTTTTCTTTCTTTTCTTTCTTCTTTTCTTTTCTTTTCTTTTCTTTCTTTTCTTTTTTTCTTTCATGGAGTCTCACTCCATCACCAGGCTGGACTGCAGTGGCGTGATCTCAGCTTATCACAACCTCAGCCTCTCGGGTTCAAGTGATTTTCCTGCCTCAGCCTCCTGGGTAGCTGGGACTACAGGCACGGGCCACCACGCCTGGCTAATTTTCGTATTTTTAGTATAGATGGGGTTTCACCATGTTGGCCAGGATGGTCTTGAGCTCTTGACCTCATGATCCACCCACTTCAGCCTCCCAAAGTGCTGGGATTACAGGCGTGAGCCACCGCGCCCGGCCCAGGTCCTTTTCTTTTCCCTGTCTGGGCTTCCTCACCTTGGTGTCTGTGGTCTCCAGGTGTGCCGTGTGCCCCCTAGTGTTGGTAAGTAGTCACAACACTTAAACTTTCACACTGTGGTTGTGTCACGGAGCCTCACCTGCCATCCAGGGCCTGACACTGAGGCTGCCCCACGGGACCCGTGCAGGTTGAGCCCCTGCTGGTGCTCTTTTCTTGGGGCCTCTGGTGCTGTTGGGGACAGGAGCTGCCAGCGAACTTTTTGAAGAAACTGAAGAGTTTTATTTGAAATAGTGGGGTCAGATGATGTATTCCTGGGCTTGGGCTGGTATAACAAACACTGTAGCCTGGGTGACTTAAACAGTAGAAATCTATTTCTCACAGTTCTGGAGGCTGGGATGTCCAAGGTCAAGGTTCCCGCTGATCCAGTCTTGGTGAAGGACCCCTTGCAGATGCCTGCTTTCTTGCTGTATCTGCACATGGTAGGTGCTTGGGAGGGGGTGGAGAGACAGAGAAGGAGAGAGAACATTCTCCTGTGCCTTCCTATTTTTATAAGGGCACTAATTTTATTATGAAACTTCCACCTTGTGACCTAGTCTTACTCTAATTGCTTCCCAAAGACCCTCTTCTCCAAATTCCATCACATTAAGGATAAAGGCTTCAGCAATTTTTGGGGGGCACTTTCAGTTTCCAGCAGGGGAGCTGGGAGCTGCTTCTTTTCCCGTTCATGAGACCTGACTTTCTTTGCTGGGATGGTTTCACACTCACAGTCCCACACTGGGCTGTAGCCCCACAGAGCCTGTTTCCTCCTCACTTCTTCTGCCCATTCCTGGGTTTTTCTTCCTGTGCTACCATCTCCCTGTGGCTTCACCTGCTTCAGTTGCAAGCAGCTGCCCCTAGGTCGCTGCCCCCCTCACCATCTCTGGCCTCACTGGCCTCTGCCATTTTTTCTGAGCCCTGAGCCCAGAGTTCTTCTGAGCCCTGATCCCAGGAAGGGTGAAGCTGGGATGGGCACTGTCCAAGGTGCTGCTCTCTGTGGCCAGCGTAACAGAGAGGCACCCTGATATGTCACCAAGGAGGAGGCCCTTGAAAAAAGCTGTTCTTCAGGGGTGCTTGCATCATGGTGGGGTTGGGGGGGTAGACACTCTGGAGTGAGCTGGACCCATGAACTGCAGGGACCCTGTTCTGTTTCAGCTACCAGCTC